ATGTGTGCCGCTGAGTTGAATTTTATTTTTTAGCATGGTTAGTTATAATTCTTTGCAGAAATTAAGCAAGAAAAGTACCTTTCTTTTTCTTACACATCGCCCGATTTTAAACTAAAAGATTTAAAAAAAAAAAAAATGGTGATATTGTTCCGAAGATGTTAAGTTATGGTATTTAAAATATATTTTATTTAATTACCACAAAGTCGCAAATTTTTATAAAAATTATCATTTCTCCATATTGTAAATTAAATATCGTTAAAATCGTGCCAATTAAATAGGTTACTGAAACCTAATTAAACCCAAAGTGTTAATAAACGCCACCTGTCGCTCGGCCTATTGACCAGTGACCACATATCATTGGTACCCAGCAGTCATCATAGATTACAGGTATGTAGTATCATTGGTACAGCATATTTATGTAAATTACTTAACATATTCTTTTATTCTACACAGTGCGTTTTCTTACAATGTATAGTTTGACTTTAGTGTGCGGGGGCAGTGCAATGTTTCTTGCAGTAGCAACATTTATCAAACCATATGGATGATAAATGCATGATAGCGTAATGTAATTAAAATAAATAAATGCATGTCCAGTGTCAAAATACTTTTTTAATTAAGGGAGTTGTTTTTAAAAGTTGCCCACAAATTACTTATAAACATCTTGTGCAACTTTAAGCATAAATAAGTTTCGATGTATAACTGATACAAACACACTGCAATCTATGTTCGGAGTTTTATTTCTAATCTCCTCAAAATTTCATTTCTAAATTTTTTCATTTATTTCTGATATTAAATACAATGATTATCTTTCGTGGAACAATGCGCAAACCGGTTATCCAACGCACTGAAAGCGTTCTCTAATTGCTCAGTATTAAATGTCTGTAAGATTCTGAAACATTTAGAACAGTGTTACGGCAATAAACGAAAAGCAACAAGACGTAACTTGAGTAAATTTGTAAGAGTACAGTTTCGAACCCTAAACAGTAATCTTCTTTCTCAGCTGAGGGAATAAAAATGGCGAAGAAAGAGACTTACGAACAATAAAGAAATTTGAGAATTTTCCAGCTGAATGATAGAAAACCAAGCTGAATGATAGAAACCAGCTGAACCAGCTGAATGATAGAAAACATGATTAGGGTGTAATCATGTATTGACAGAAAATTAATAGTTACGCCAGTTCTTGTTATTTATCATCCATTACGTTATTATTTATTTTGTCGGTAACTTTTTTTTGTTTGTTTTTTTGTTGTTGTTGCATTTAAATTAACTTTACTAGTCGCTCAGCGGATGAAGCTGGAGCTTCTTCTTCTATCATTTAGCTAGAATTTCTGTGTGTTATTCTCGTGTAAATCCACGTTTGTTTTTCCCGTTATGTTCTTCCCCGCAGCTGAAAAAAAGTTTTTTATTTAACCTCCGAAATCATACCTTGCAAACTAACTCACGTTACTCAATTTTTGTTGTTTATCATTTGTTATTTTAACATTTAGTACTTCGGGGTGTCCTTTTTGTTGACAATTTTGAGTGACATTTCTCGGAATTTTGCTTAGTGGTGAGGTCATCATTATCTTTTGGCAGCTTAACTCGGATAACAAGTAAAATCTATTATTGCTCACATAGGCGTACTTTGTGTAAAAGTAGCTACTGTCAAACCAAACGCCATAAGATCGTATCTTCCAAATGATAACCGTTTATTGTACCTCAATCCGAAAACGAAGCTGAGCTATTTGTAAACAATGTGTATTTCTAAATAACATTTTGACCTACTGTTAGTAAAATTCGTATATTTAACTTTTGATAGCAGCGTTAATTTGCCCACAGTTAACTTTTAGTGCCATATTCCTTTTTCCCACCGTAGTTATTTGTACAGTTCAGTAATTCTGCACAAACTTCAGCTAAGCGAGATTATAGCAATTTATGAACTGATGAATTCTAGCAAGATCCTTTCGTGTTAGAGAAAGTATCGTGTCTCTTGGGTATGTGCTGCTATTTTGCTATAATAGGTTCTTCAAGGCCTTTGCGACTGTACCTCCTACGCAATCGTAAGCCCAGTCGCCACCACCGTAATAACATTTATTTTCTCTACCTCATTTTATACTGTACATTTTAGATTTTCGCAAAGTGAAACACGCTTAAGCTTTTCACAAAGCGCTAAGCCGAAATGAAGTGGGGAAAAAATTAGGAGACTGGACCACCTGTTATAGCTATCGCTACCATCGTTACAATGCAAGTTGGAAGGGTAAAAATGATCCTGAAGTGCCTTTTATAAAGCAAATATATTGCTCGTTTCGGAAGGAGATAAGCACATATTTAACTTTAAGAGCTTGATCACACAGTACGTCATTAGCGTTAATTTTTATCAATTCTAAGGAATTTGCCGAAATTGCATTTGGCAGCATTTAATATTATGATCTCTCAAACTGATTATCCTAAAATATCGTCTGCTTACGGATAGAATTTCTAATTCAGTTAATCTTTGCTTTGATGCAGTTATAAGGTATTTGTCCCCCTTTCCTAGCGTGCCTTCGTGGTGTAGTGGTTCTGCACGCTGGGCCGGTATTCCAGAGGTCCGTGGTTCGATTCCCGGCGAAGGCATTTGCTCATTTTTCCTCTTGCTTGCTTCCAAAAAAAAACCTAATGTCTCTACGCAGTGAATATCTGTTGTCATGGATTTGAAAGCTGAGCAAAAAATAGCAACATTCTGCTGTAAAGCAGAAATTAATCCTGAGTTTTCAAACAAAATGTGACTGAGGATGAAACTTGATGCTTTGCTTATGATCTTAAAGCAAAAGGGCAGTCATCTTCTTGGGTTGGAGAAGGTGGTCCAAGGTTACAGAAACTTTAATTTTAGAAATCTGGCAACAAAAAAAAAAAAAAAAAAAAAAAAAAAAAAAAAAAAAAAACCCTCATTGGAGAGCTTTTTTGAGTGGAAAGGATTTCTGATTTTCTCATTGAAGAGCTTTTCTAATTCACAAGTAATTTGCTCTTAAATGACAAACTGTGAACTCCGTATTTTACAAAGACGTAATGGACAGACTTCTGAAAACATTTCAAAGCATTAGGTCATAAAATACTCAGTCAGAAAAAAAAGTTTTTGTCGCACGATAATACAAATTCACACAATTCCATTTTCTGAAGTAATTTCTAGCAAACAAAAATGTCACATATCTGAACCATCCCCCTTACTCATCGGATTTGGCATTCTTCCCTAAATGAAGTCTGACTTCAAAGTTCATATTACTTTAATAGCTTTGAAGAGTCTGAAGAAAACCGCAAGCAGTATTTCAAAAATGAGTTCTTTCAAGGATGCAAGCAACTGGATAAATGTGCTAAGTGTTGCATAATCTTGGAAAGATAGTTATACTAATAGCTAAACGTTGTTTTTTTGCAGCGTTCATTCCTTTGCGAATTTAACTGTAACTCTGTAGACACACCGTACATGTCCCGCAAATTGTAACTTAAATAAATTTTTAATTATTGTTAATTTAGTTGTGTTGCAGGTTATGAATTCTTGAATTGGCTATAACTCATCTCGATATCAGCGCAACCTAAAAAATACCGTTAGATTAGCAGATTTAAAAAAAAAAACTAGCAAATTATATTTGAATTCAGGAATAAAATATTACGGTTTAAAATTTACAAAACTTAAACCTTGCAAAAAGATTAATACGCTAAAAAAATATCCAAGTTATTAAGATCAAGAAATACCTGTGAAATTTTTACAAAAATTCAACTCAAGTTTGGCCTATAGAAGATTGTTATTTGGTAAGCAAGTTTTTCAAGGTCTGTTTATATTTTTATTTATTTTATTTATTTTATTTCTGGGGGATTAAATTTTATGATTAAAAAAATAACAAAAATCATAACAGAAGCATATATTTATAATAAATATTAAATCGTAAGATACTGAAATCACTTCCTCGCAGTAGTATTAAGTGAAAAAAAAGTACAAGAAAAAGATTTTATGAATGTTCTTATTTGAAAAATTACATCTCATTCTACTTTATTGCTTTGGAGAAGATATTTTGAAATGCGAGTAGAATACAGAGGATACTTTTAAAAACTCTCATTAAGCGTAAAAAAATAAGCAATTACACTTGTGATTTCAATCACTACTTTGCCTTGAGTTAATTGTGCTTTGACAACTAATTTCATCGCAAAAACTTTCCAACTGTTGTCATTTTTTAAATACACGCATTCCTTTTACTATAAATAATTATTTGCCGAAACATTCTTTGGAATTTGAGAAACTGTCTCAAATTTATAATAAAAGTAAAGGATCTGATTTGAAATTACCTACATCACAAGAAATTTAGCAAGAAATTGTGCCTTTTTAGGGCGTTGCTCGAGAGTTTAATGAACATAACAAAAAATACAAACGGAAGAAGTAATAACTAGTATATAATTTTGCAATATGTATTTTATACACTAAGGAAATTTCAGAACTTTATGTGTAATTTTTATTTATAAGATATTTATGTATCATACTAACATAAATCAAATTTCAATTTTACAAGCATTTTAAACTTCTACAATAAACCATGCCATTACATATTTTAATCATGCAAAATTCTTTTACGATTTCTTGCTGAAGCAAACAATTATGTACCCGAAAATTATACATTTTTTAGTTGGCACATATTGGCAATGATATTTCTTCCATAAAAAAAACATGTTTACTGACTCGTAGTTACAAACACCATGCCTTCCTTCTTTTTTAATTTATACACCCGGAATATAAAAAAAATGGATAGCTCTCAAAAATCCAAGCAAACTTTAAATAAATCTCACCCAAACCATCATTCGAATTCTTAAATCTATCCAATAAATTTACTTTTACACACAGGTCCTGAAAATGCTTCAATGTCAAAAGGTGAAAGCATGATTTTCCACGTACGGTGAAATTAAAAAAAAAAATATTTCTCCAAAATTTATTCTACTGCAAGATAAAGATTTCTCTAAAATTAAGATAATAATTTTTCAAGAAGAAATGTTATCCTTACCTTTAACGGTTTGAGACCTCCAAGCGTTATGTTACGTGTGTGAATCCTTTTCACTCGGTGTGTAATTTCTCAACCTTTTACTCCTCGCTTGACCGTTTCTCTGAATGTTAGAGGTTTCAGCGAGGTTTAGCCTTTCCTCTCAATGACTAGAATGCGCATGCTCCCTGCCTCCGCCCTGCATCCCAACGGTTGCTATGGCGACGGAATCAACATTCCAGCCGGTTTTGAGCTTGGAATTTTGACTATTAAATAATTGTTAAAACTATAGGCACCTACAGACCCATTGCAATTTTTATGTCATTTTGTATTTTTATATCAAAAATAATTTTTTTCCTTCTTTTGCTCCATGGCTAGAAAATGTATTAGATTCCAATACTCTTCATGACTCCCTTTTCCAATGCTTAAAATGATCGAATGAATTAGCCAATCATTTAAGGCAGACTCTGTATTAACAAGCCCCTACAGAACCAGATCTTAGGCCGGATAATGTGCAAATTTTTCGGACGCTGTTGAAGAATTCAATGAATAGATTTAAAAATATAATAAGAAACAATTTCGAATATACAGTCTCTTCTTGTGCATCTTATACAAAAAGTAAAATCCAGATCTACAGCAACAAAAGTACTTATATGTTATACTTACCTAAATTTAATTTCAGTTTTATTAGCCCTTTAAACATTTGTAAGAATATTTTTCATCGTACAAAATTCTTTTGCAGTTTCCTTTAAGTACAAAACTTTGTATGCTATATAAAAGATAACAATGATGGGTTATAAGATATTATTACATTTCCCCTCGCATGCTGTCATAGAGTAAATAGTTGGTATATTCTAGCTAGCAAGCAGATCTATTAATTCGAAACCCAGTGACAGCACAGTTGGTTCTGACGTTTCATAACTCCGAAAAAATATATGTATATTACGCTTTACATTGTAAAAATTGTAGTAGTCTCTATAGTGTATCCCCCTCCCCTCAAAAAATAAATATGATGGACGATAACTCTTCATCACCTAGGTTTAGTTGACTGGCTCTGGTGCTTCTCCACATTCGCCTTTAAATGGAGGAAAATTTAAACAATTATTGCATTTTCTCTCGTGTAAATGATATCTCTCCATCACATAGCCTGTATCAACTAAGTCTCATGCTTTTCTCCAACCGCAGTTTAATTGAATGAAAATATAAGAGTAATTGAGAGCTGTGACATTTTTCTTTGCCACAAACTATTTGACAAGAAATGGACTGTCAGACATTGTACTGTAGCAGAAACCAGATACACGATTGATCTTTCTCAAGCCTAACACGTTGAATTCTCTCTGAAAGACTATCGATTGAAACTTTACAAAATATGGAAGTCAACTTTTGTCGTTCAGCAGAAAATTCCTTGTGAATTATAAGTTTTCAGCCAAAAACACTCATTAAAATAAACTAGCAGAGATTTTTGAACGTTTTTGTGGCCGCGGTGAATCTTCTCCAATCCAAGGGAGGGACGTTTTGTCTGAGGACCTAGCCTCAAATTTCATCTCCAGTCAGAATTTGTTTAAGGAAACCAGGATCAGTATCTGCCATTTCGATTAAACCATATCACGAGTAAATTCGATTATTTTTCTATGCTGGAACTTCATGAGGAACAAAGCGAGCAAGATCTTTTATGACAATCTTGCAAGCAGAGTCTATATCGATGTTAAACTCATCAGCTGTACTTGAAAAAACGCATGACGGTTTTTCAGTAGCACATTCTTTTCAGATGCTGTAATCCATTTGAGATTGCAAAGTATGCATTTCTGACATCTTTGCATCCATCACGAAACTGTCCATGCCAACGAAACACAAAGGGATCAAGTTATTGCTTGATCCCTGTACCTTCACACAATATTTCAAATGCCTCCGTTGCTGTTTCCCTCAGTTTGCAAAAGCAGAACAAGAAAAGAACTTTATTGCTAGCGTTTACCGGGCTTTTGACTCCGTGATAGCAGATGTTCTTTAGACCAAAATGAATAGTAACTACATAGAAAGCAGAAAATATTTAAGAGCAAGCAATTTGAGACGTCATTGTAATAAAGGCTGTCAGTTATCGTTTAGAAAGTTCACTTGAACATATTAAAAATATAATACTAAAAATTTTATATATGCATTGTGTACGGAGTGTAGCATTTAACAACACTCATTCTCAAAGCAGAAATAACGCATTTATTGCACACAGTTATAACTGATCATGTCTTTGAGTTAGTGTCTTAGATTTACAAAATAGATATCGCTTCTTTAAGTCAACTTCTTGTAGATGACTTCTATGGCAATCAAGGTATCACTGCCCTGAAGAGAGTTTAATAAGAACCATTAGTGTTGCTAAACCGAGATAGAAGTCACCTGGGTAAGGGTAGCAGAACTATTTTTTTTTTCTTCTTAATGGAAGTATTTGGAAACTCAAGTTTTCAATCTCAGGCTATCTGACTTTAACAGCATTAAAAATGAAATTTATCAAACAATTGAAAATGCTTCTAATGACATGCTACATTGGGTCTTTGCCAAGCGAACTAGCAATGCATAGATTGTCATAGAGCATATCACCAAGATGCTGTACTGTTGATGCTGAAGCCTGGTTTGTAAATAATTCAAGATCCTAACAAACCTAACGTGATTAGTCTCTTACAGAGTATCATAAATGTGTTATCATATTTTGGAAATGGATAACGTAACATGCCTGTATGCATTGTTTTAGTTATATAATTTGTGGCAACTTTATTTAAGCATATACATTTATTTAATCATTTTTATTAATTTATTTAATCAATATTTTAGAGATTTTACGCTGTGCTTAATTAACTGTTATTACAAATTTTAACAATACCTTTTGGTGTCCTGGAGAGGTATAAAATATTATGTTTTCCTGTGTATCGTGGAATGTATAATGATTTATATTCAAAAAATAAAAATTAAATTAAAATCTTTGTTCATAATTCAGACAAACTAATATTTCATAAATAAATAGCACATACAATTTTTAAAAAATAAGGCGTAATTATTTTTTTTTCCTTTTTCCTATGAAACACGAAAAACATTTCTATATAATCAGCAGTTTCCCAAAAATTTCCTAATTTCTAAATTTACATTCCATTGATATAGTAGCCATGTTTCAGAATTTTTCCTGGCGAAGTGAAGAATTATTTACTAATCCAAATTTCTTGAACGTAATCGTATCATCAGTTGCTGTTGACATAAAATATATTGTCAACGTAACTTCTAAATTAGGGTACGATTGAATAAAAATATCATCTATCATTAAAAAGGAGAAATAATACGATTAGGATTATGACTGAAAAAGTTAATCTAAAAATTTGATGATTTAGAACAAAGTTTAATAACATTTTAAAAATATTCTTTTTAGTTTACTGTCTATATTTACCATTTTCTTTTGAAAAACCTATCTAATGTTTTTCAATTTATAAAGGCATGTATTAATTTAAATATCGATAATTATGTGACGAAAATTCTTTTGCATTTTAAGTAAACGTTTCAAGTAAAAAAAAACTCGTAAAGGACCAAATATAATGTCACATATGTTTCTTATCCTAAATTAAAGAAGTAAACTCTAGATCAGCGAAAAGAGTTTACTTCTTTAATTTATTTAATTTTTAATATCTGGAATTTTTCAAACTAGTGGTTTTTAAAATAAGACATTTCGATTGCAGTTTCCGCAATTGTTGTAAAACCGAATCACACTTGAGCAAAAATAAATTTTTGCTGCGGTTTTCTCCATCTGATAAAATATTTCGCATTAGTTCTAACAAAGGAGCAGTGTGCTAGTGCCCCAATAGTTAAGACAGTTGAAAACTGGTATCTGGATTCGAAATATTAGTACCTTGAATTCTAGTCCTAGCAAATGAGCTTGCCTGTATGAGCTTTTTCTTGGTTTCATCCATTTTTAATACAAACAGAGCCAGTTTCTTCCAGAAGGTCCTCCAAGAAGCCAGGTAACTTTTACGTACTCCGTTATAAGCAAACACACTTGTGCATAAACTGTGCATGTTTTGGTTGCATAATAAGATCCGTACGTTGATTCTCACAATTCGTTCTCATACTACTGAACAGTATGCAGAGCTCCCTGGTTAAGTCCTTATGCATCCTTCAACTTTCTTTTGAAGTGTTCTAGAGTTATATTATAAGGTATGTTCTCCCTACTTTCGTATTTTAAGTATAAATACTCCTCTAAATAGAAATCAGGAAGTTCGAAATTTGAATCTCGGAGATGGCATTTCTAATTTTTCATGATTCCTGGGTCTAAAAGTTAAAATGTGTTCGACGATAATTCGTCACTACCAGGATCTGGCGATTGGTTCTTTGCCTCTTTAGTCGCCCTTTAAGTGGGGTAGGATTTAAGATATTTTCTTCCGCCTTCCCGCTTACCTTCTTGGTGTAATTGAAAATACTTCCGGCTAAGAATCGGGAGGTCAAGGTTTCGTATCTCGGCTATGTTACTGCTTTTTTCTCAGAGTCTCTGCTTCGACAAACCTAATGGATTTACAACAAGAGCATTGAAAAATCTCAAAGCACACAAGATCTATCTGCCTAAGAAGAGGGATACCTTCATGGAATCATTCACGTTACGCATGGGGAGAACAACGAAAACCAACCATGCCGTCAACCTGTTCGATAAGGATAGAAACCGGGTTGAAGTCCCCACCAGTGGGCATTTAACCATTCAACACTGATAGGCTGTTACATAAGCAAGTTCTTTTTGTAGGAAGACGACTATCAACCGTTGATTCAGAACGTTTACAGAGCACTTAGCAGCGCATTAAAAAATTTAGATTTGACTCTAATGAAGGAGGTAATTTCTTTTTTCTATAAAACAATACGACGAAATGAAAATTTTCAGTTGTAAACTTTATGGTATTCTCCATTCAAGATCGAAAAACATTCATTTGCACGTTTCGAATACAAGCGATAAAAAATAAGGTAAACGAAAATATTCCTGTTTTATTATCGGATAAGATAAAATCTAAAATCTTCAAGAAATCTATCTTAGATAATGTTCAAATTGGATGTAACACATGTTTGAAATTTGAGACGAGAACGTTTCTTTAACATGAAATATCGATATGTTTAAACCATTT